GCGGGCGCCAGCCACGCGGATGGTGAGCAGCTGCACGGGCAGGTTGGAGTCGGGCGAGAGCTCGTGTTGCTGCGCGGCAGTCACTGTCAGGTGCACGTCCTGCTGCTGGGCCACGCGCACGTGGTAGGTGGTCACCTTCATCACCCACGTGTCCGTGACGATCACCCGGGCGCCCGGGGCCCCCGTGGCAAACTTGTCGATGCGCCTGAACTCGGTGTTGATGGAGGCGGCCACAGCCCGCCAGCCCGACTGCGGGAGGGCGTACAGGGCCAGGGTCCGGGCCAGCGGGTGGTGGGCCCAGTGGTCCCGCGACCAGTGGTAGACGAGGATGCCGGCGACGGAGGGCAGGGCCAGCGCCAGAAAGAGGAACAGCCGCCAAGCCTCCGGGGCCTGGCCAGGCGAGTAGAGGCGCTTCTCTGAGGCCGCGAAGCACATGCCCACGTAGTAGCCTGCAGGGGACAGGTGCGCCTCAGCCGCTGGGCCCAGGAGGGTCCCGCCCCAGGTCTGGCACCTCCGCCTCGGTCAGCTCCCAGGGCCAGCGCGGCCGCGGGCCCAGGGCAGGAGGCTGACCCCCTTGTTGCTGGCCCACAGCCACAGTGCCCTCAGCGGGCATGTCAACACGCCGCTGACCTCGGGGAAGAGAAGCAGCAAAACCCATGAAGAAAGCCCAAAAGGACTGAGGCTGCGGCATCAGCAGACACCCCACGGCTCCCCGGCCCCATTGCGGGGCCAGATCCTGGCCTCCTGACCGCAGGCCTGGGAAACAGCAGGCCCTCAGGAAGGCGCCCCCCAGGAAGCCGACTAGCCGCGGCGGAGGAGAGGACTGCAGTCGGGCCCAGCGGCAGTGCTGAACTTGCAAAGCACCAGAAACGCCTGCTGCAAAGCTGCTGAGACTTAAGGTCACTTCAAAGCTCCAGCGTGTGCCCCCAGGCTCCTGGAGCCACTCGGGGCCCTAAGTCCAGCCCCGCAGAGCTGGTGAGAAGGCACTGACGCTGGTTCCTGGACAGCCCGGCCTCTGGGTCGGGCCCTCCGCCCTCGGCTGGCCCAGGCGACGTGGCCACCCACTGGCCCCGTCTCCGCCCTGCTGGGCTCCCTTCCCCAGTCTTCCCAGGAGGCGGCGCCCCTTTCTCCACCATGCCACCCCTCCCCTGCCCTGCCCTGAGGTCAGGCCCTGTGTCCACAATCGCGGGAGCAACAGGTCCCCCATGTTCTCAGACCTACTCCTGTCCACAGGTCCCAGGCACCCCCCTGCACCCCACTCCCCCTGCACCCCACTCACTAGCCAAACTCTGGCACCCAGACAACTGCCTGTGGCCCAGGTGGCCAGCACCACGGCCACCCGGCTCTGGGGGCCGTTCCCCTAGGCCGCAGGACCAATGCAGGGCTCCCAGCCGCCCCGCCCTCGGCCACCCTTCCCGCTCCTGAGCTCCTGTGCCCAGCCAGTGGCCGCCTGCTGACCGGCCGGGCCTTCCGCCCCCCGGGAGCAGACGCCAGGGCTCGGCGGGCGAGCCCGGCCCTCACCGAGCGGCAGCATCGAGTGGCACAGCAGCGTGGCGGCTGAGCGGCGCAGGTGGTAGCCCACGAAGGCAGCGTCCTCGCTGCCCAGCCAGCCGGACAGCAGGTTCTGCACCGTGAGCCCGGCCGAGTGGAACTCGGTGGGAGTGAACACGAAGCACACGGCGAACACCAGGTAGGCCAATGTGAAAGTGACCTCGGGACTGTCCATCGCGCCGCCGCCGCTGCCACCGAGCAGCCGTTCCGCGGACCCCCGCGCCCAGGCTCCGACAACAGACCTGACCCCCCTCGCCCCGCGGTCCTCGGCCCGCGGCACCGCCTCCGCGC